ACTGTCCACCAAAAGTAGGTAAGGGAGAAATCCCATCGAAAGAAAAGGACGAACAAATATTACTAGGAGGACGTGGAGGATTGGAAAAGTTACAGAAACCTTTCCTGAAAAAAGACGGAAGAATTCGGTTGTAAGTTGTTTAGTCCCCAAGTCGATAAGCCTGTTAGCCCCGAACCAGGGGCCCGTTTCTCGAAAGCCCCGGAAACTTTTAAGGCCCTCAAAGCCATTACAAACGCCTAAAACATTTTGTATGAAGAGAACCTCTCTTTATATTAAGAACATGTGAATAAAACAGCTCTGTAATCATAAGGTTTAAGAGTTTGCTACGGCTTTCCGGCTGCGAAAACTTTTCGGGACCTTCGAGAAACGGACCCCTGAATTCGAATAGTCCCCAAATAAAACTTGCCTTTTAGAGTCAGTTAATTATACGTCTTGTCAATATGCCAAATTAAAGTTTTGTAACCGAGTAGCCATTTTAACGAGCGAGAGGACCTTGCACTGGGAAAGTTTGTTTTGTTCTGCACGTGAAGATTCAATTCTGACCCAATAAAATGCTGACGTAAATAATAATAATAATAATAATAATAATAATAATAATAATAATAATAATAATAGTAATTATAATCGTATCTATAACGAAATTCTCGATCGTGATTGGTTCTCCGCGCGCCTATTTGCCACGTAATTGGCGCGCGATCACGTGGGTGTCCAAAATACAGGTATCCAATTTCAACTTTTTGTAATTGGACACCTGTAATTGGATACCCACGTGATTCGCACGTCAATTGCGCGCGCTTTCATAGCTTTCTTTGCAATGTTTCCTGCAGTTTTCAAAACTTATGAAACGCGTTACATACGTTTTCGCTTAAAAGAAGTTCTCAAAAGACATTTTTAATTCCGAAATTTGTTATAGATACGATTAAATAGTAATTGGACCAAGTGTCGTACAATCCAGTGAGTAATCGGGTTTGTAATTTCAAATCGACCTAGCGCTTCGCGCTCGTCCGATTTTGAAATTATTCACGCAATTACTTCCTGAATTGTACTCCACTCGGTCCAATTACTATTACTAGTAATAATATATAATAATATATAATAAATAGTATTTTATGGCGCCTATCCGAGCGTGATCTAGGCGCTTTACAAGTTATAAAATATGATTAAAATAGAATATTAAAAATAAAATAAAACAAGAATCAATAAAATTATTCCAGAAAGACTTCCTTAAATAATTCAGTTTTAAGGTGGCTCCCCAGAGTATTTACGAACACCCTCCCTATAGAGCGGGAGTTTGAAGAGGAAACTTAGTTAATTTCTCTTAAGGTTTTCCCTGTAGAGATTTGCCAGTATAGGTACTGTTAAAATAAGGCTTATTTTTTGGTTGCCAATTCTTGGATTAAGGCCGTTACTATGGCAACATCTTATCTAATGACAGGCAGATATATTCCTCATTTTGACCTAAACTCCTTAATATTTATACTTTCCTTCGGTGAAATGTTTTCATACTTTGCCACATCATGGAAATTATATTGCCTGACATTCTGAATTGGTAAAAAGTCAAGGTTGTTCAAACGGGTTTTCCAACATCCAGTAATTTGTCATTCTTCTAGATATATTGAATTAGCTCTGATAGATTTTAACAATAATGGGGTATTTTCTAGGAATTGTATGTGGTTACAAGAGAGCCAAATTAAAAAACAAATTCACCGAAGGTAATGCTAGAAAATTAACTGTCAGTTTTGCTTTTTGTGCTCATATTGACGTCATAAAAATCGAAAAACACTAGCGTTTTCCTTTGAGCTTTCGTCCTATGCGCGCGTGCAGTCATGAAACTATAGGAAGCCACCTTAAGCCGAGTTTTGAAAATATGAAGATTGTCTGATTTTCTGATATATAGTGGTAAGTCGTTCCAGAGTTGTGACGTGGCGAGGCGACAGCAAAAGCTCTAGGTCCATAAGACTTCAAGGAAAGTCAGTTTTGTAAAGCGGTTTTCGAAGGTTCAAGTTAACAGTTTAAGGTAAAACTTTAGTCATTGACTGCTGTAGATATGTTGGCTCCAGAAAAGGAGCTGTTCTTTTGTCCGCAAAGTTCAAGGCCTAGCAGGAATCTTTAGAATGACGGACTATTCAGATACGAAGCTGTCGAACAATATATTGAATTGATCCAAACAAATGTGATATTTGTACAATGGAAATAATGGTTGACCCTCACTGAAAAAAAATGAGGCCAATCGGTGCAGGTCCGAAATTTGCCTTATCCGTTCTTATAAGGACAGCCTTTAAGTGTTTTGCTACATAGCTAGCGTTAAAGGTAAAGTAATCAGGGAAGAAGAATTAACCAATTCAAAGTAAGCCCAACCCCTACGGCGCGACATTTAGATTTATGCATTGCCCGGCACATGACCATAACTCAACCAATGAGAGCGCGCTAAACTCCGGCAGAATGTAATGATCAAACTTATTCGGACTGTCAGCCGGCAAAGTTTTTCAAGCTTTCTCTAATGGCTCCGGGCAAATGACTTATGTCATGTGCTCGTAGCTGCCATTCACAGTCGGTCTACATTATCGGGGAATGTTGGAACATCGAAGGCGGATTCAGGAGGGGGTGAATTGGGTGACTATCCACCCCCCTCTTGGTGAAGCAAAAATGGAAAAGATTGTCAATATTTTGGCAGAAATAAAGGCAAGACCTCTGGACAGGTACCCCATCGTAATTTCTAGTTTTTGGCATTGCTAGTATTTCTGGTGTAACAGTTTTAAATTAGGTTCAATCCTCCAATTGCAACTTTTTGCGGCAAGGTTCCATTGATTCTGCAACCCCAAAGTATTAGCCACCCATCCCCTCTTGAAAAATCCTGGATCCGCCCCTGGAATACCAGTGACTGGTTATGTACTGCACGTGCAAGCCAACTCAGAGGATGAGAAATGAGGTCAGTATAACCAAGTCAATAGTCTGCGTGTCAGACGATGTCAACAATATAATCTACATGAAAATTCTTTCTGTGCTGTTTCAGTGAAGGTTTTGATTTTCACAGAGTAATGGGCTCCTGATTTTAAGTAATCCTGTTTTTTGTGTGCGTGCCGACAGAAACGCTCGCTAGCACGTGAGGTCGAACAATTGAACAAGTTCAAGTTAGCACTAGTAATAGTTATCACTAAAGCTGCTCCCGCTTTCCTTTATTTCTACTGATTGTAAACAATTAACATTTTTGTACGAACTAAAACTTCTATATCTTTTTTTTTTTGTAAACTTTATCACTCATACCGTTCCTATAGCTTAGGCATCTTATCATGGTTATTATCCAAACATTCAACTAAGTAAACTAGACCAACACTTTCTATTCAACTCATTCCATTCCAGACAGCCGTGAGTTTTCGTTTGAAAGGACACAAAAAGTACTTTCTGAAAAAAGAGGTTTCCTTCATGGGAATTAATGTTTCTGTTACAAAAATTTTACTCAGTACAACGTAAGAAAAACAGGTTAAAAAATTATAGAGAAACAAAATATAATGTCAAACCACTCTGCCGTTTGAATTTGATGATGAAACAAACCATTTTTCTTGTTATAAGAGCAAACGTATCTCGAAAGCAGAACAGCAGTCGAGAAAATCATCCGGAACTTGCTGTCACGATTTTTTTTCTGAGACGGGTAGGAGGAAGCACCCGGCAAAGAAAAGGCCTTTCTCTGCAATTTCCCCCCTTACCCTACCCTCTTGCTAAGAAAGGCCTGATACTCAGGTTATTAACAGAAGTATCGCGTTACTGTCACTTCTAATCTATAAATGCAAATTAGAGTCAAGTTCTTTGTTCTCAACGAAAACGCTGCAAAACATTCAACCAGCCGTGACATGAGCTCTACGTCACGTAAGATTACTCAACACAGACGAGCGATCTGAATAAACGACATGCCAAAGGTAGGAGCTGGCGATCGGAAGTATTTTAGTCACAATTGAGCACGAGCGAAGCGAAACTCGCCTCGAATACCGAGATTTACCGGTTCTTCAGAATTACTTGCGATACCTTCTGAGTTGTTTTCATCCTAAAAATCCATCCTCAGGATCTTTGAAATCGACCCCCAGCAAACTGTCGGCAATTCTTTGTTTGCGTACTTTTCGGCAATCCTTTGCGAGCCGTGTTCTCAAAAATCGAGATTTTTTCTGCTACAGTGAAATTTTCCTCCCTATACGCGGGGACGTCTAGGTTGCCTTCTCGGGTTTTGGCCGTCTGGGCCAAAACCCTGCGGGGTCAATAGATTTTACAGTTGTCTGCTTAATGACCTGGCCTTTGGATGGTAGCGAGGCTGGAGTCGACCTTGTTTTGATACAGACCTCACTGCTTTCGTCATGTAAATGCACCTAGTTAGCATCAGAACAACTTGTTTTACACAACAAAAGCAGTGAGGTCTGTATCAAAACAAGGTCAACTCCAGCCTCGCTGTCATCCAATGGCCAGGTCACTGAGCAGACAACTGTAAAATGGTCTATTACTTTAATAGAATTCGACAAATGTAACACGTTCGCATCTAGGTGACATTTTTGAACAAGTATACTTTGACTTTTTTTAAAGTAAATAAACATTTATTCAAAGACAAAACATTCGTACAGGACCAAACTTACATTACATTACTCCACCTAAATCACATCACTTGTAAATAGGTTTCTAACCTTTGTCACCACATTTCTATATGATATTTACTTTGTTTTCTACCTGTGAAGCTTTTACAATAGTATCTTACATTAGATTTTTTTCAAATTGTAGATAACTTAAAGCAATTAAAAAAAAACTAGCTTGAACTACTTACACCGACTATAAAAACACACTTAATTAATGATAATTAATTATTTAATATGCACTCCATCTTTCATCACTCTTACAATTACGATACGCTAAGTAAGAATTCACATAAATGTGTATTTCTAAAACACTACTTATCAAAAAAACCCTTACGATGACCTACTACTTAAAAGTTCATTTAATCTCACTCCTTGCAATGCTATTTGCCTGGCGGGAGGCCCGTATCGCCCAGGTATTGCGAAAAACTGTGCCCGAGGTTTTGAGTATGGCCCGAGGCCGCAGGCCAACACATTCTTTAGACTATAATATACAGCTAGTATTACTCATAACGTATTATGACCTATTATTGTTTGAAAAAAGGTTAGCAAAATAGTTGCGTAGACTTTCTTTGTTCAAGCATCACTATAACATCGGAATTGTGTTTTGATCGATTTGCTCTTGATTATTCCTACACAACGCTCTCTTCTCGCAGCCGCATATATATGACACAAGGCCTATAATAACCAGTGCAAAAACAACAGCAATAACAGTAGCAACTATTGTAGTGTCGTTCCACGTGTTTGACTTATCTTTCAGATCTTCACCTGAAAAAAGCAATTGAATGAATACGTCAATGTTCATATTAACCAAAAGAGAATATTAACGAGAGTGAGGTCGTTTACGGGAAATTCTCAAACTAAGGCCTTGCCGTATTGGCCGAGTGATAGCGAGGTCAATACGTATACGGTAGGCCGAGGTTTGAGATTTTCCCGTAACGACCGAACGGTCGAGGTTATTAAGTTGTTTATTAAATGGCTCATGAATTAAAGAAAAGAAAAAAATTTGTTCGAGCGGAAGCCGTCAATTTACAGCCGGCGATGCGCGCGTTTACCGATTCATTCATCGTCTCAAACCCAGGACAAAACTACACAGTCAGTGAACTTCACCACTGTATCACGTATTCTGTTAAAAACATTTCTTTACGGGAAAAATGATTGCCACTGCCTCAAAAAGGTATTTTAGTATCGTGGTGCCACAACTTGATGGGGGAGTTTTTCTGACTTTTGTGGCGAAACGTCAACGCATATAGAAAAGATAGAAAGTGCTTCAAAATAGTCCAAACAAACGGTCTTTCAGTGAAAGAAAATGCTTCAGAATGCACTGCTCAGAATAACTCGATCTTCGCATTCGCTTTCGACAACATATCTTCGCTTTCTTCATTCTGGGATTTACTGATGAACTTTTCGAGGCTTGTGAACGTCTAAAACTTCCTGCAGTCATCAGAAACACTGCTACCGACAGAAACCGCCCGATTGTTTATATCCGATGATCTTGGAAGCTGATTTACCCTTGCTTGTGCTAAAGCGAGGGAATCTGTTTGATGAGAACTCTGACGGCGTTCAATATTTCGGTAATATAACATATTACATGATAACTTATAAATTTCTTCGTGGTTTTCTGCTCAGGATGCGCGACAGATGTGCCGATGGTGTTTTTCACTTAGCGATTTTAGCTTTACTTAAGACTCGACAAACTTTGCTTGTTTTTCACTAGTACCCGCCAAGGTTACCGGCTGCTAAGTCAAAAAACGACTTCTATAATAATCGGCCCGTGGGCATTACGGCTGCATAATGACCGCTCAGATCTCGCTCTTAGCCAATCAGAACGCGCGTTATATCGACCACGAGCCNATTGAAGCGATGAAAGCCGATTAAAATCAGTACGAGAATATCAGTAGCTAAAAGTTTAGAGATATTTCTTTAATAAAATTTATATAGATGACTTACTAGTCAGTAACCTTGGCGGGCACTAGTGAAAAACAATCAAAGTTTGCCTAGTCTTAAGTAAAGCTAGAATCGCTAAGTAAAAAAACTGAGGCAAGGCCTCAGTTTGAGATTTTCCCGTAACGACCTCACTCTCGGTTATTAAGTAGTTATTATCATATAAACATCAATGAAATACCAGTTAAGCTTTCACGCGAAAACATGATATCTTCATAAGTGAAAGTAACATGTTATCTTGACATGTGAAAAGATCACCGTTGCTATGGTTACGTAATAAATCGCGCATTTCCCAGTTAAAGTGAAATTGTTTGGTGTTTCATCGGTGTCTTTGTAATGAATAAAATATTACCTGGCCGCTTGAAGATACGAAATTTCTCTTCTTGTGTTGAAAAATATTTCACTCGTTCGCTGCGCTCACTCATGAAATATTTTTCAACACTCGAAGAAAAATTTCGTATCTCTGCACAGCCATTTATCAAATATCATGATTTATGGCCAGGTTTGTCTTTGTGATGAGAGAATTGACCGATATTCATAACCATAAAAAAGCCAACAGTCAGCAGTTACAAGAAAGTCCAATAACCATGGTAACCACCTGTCTATCTGTATTATTGTGAACACCTTGTACTGTAGTGAGAACAACCTGAAGTTGTAAGTAGTCAATATTTACGAGCAGATTAACTGACTTACCAATGATGAAATAGCCTAGAACAATATTGAGCTCATTGGCGGTCAATAGCGGTTGAGGATTAGTAAACGAAACGTTAGATCACTTGTTTAGAGTCTAGTATAAATAAAAAGTTGTTCTTCGGTTATGCCCCCAGTGGTGGGACACCAAATATCACAATACTAATACTAATACCTGTACTTGTACTTGTACTTGTACT